TGACTTCTCCACCCTGTACACTGACTGTGCACAACTTAAGCAGTCAAATGGAAACCTTTGGGAGTACATAAAGCTTTAAGCCATGAGTACTCCCTGTGCTGGAGTGACTATTTTTTTTTTTTTTTGGAGTGGTAATTCAAGGTTATTGTCTCGGTCAGAAAGTTTTGACCAAAAAGCATAGAGTTGAGAAAAGTGAGGGGGAACAGCTCATACACTGTGGTTATACAGCAGTTAGCTCATGAACCAAAATGCATCATTACTATCATTCAGTTAGGGTTATCGTGAAAGCTGTCAGATTTAAATGCTTAAGAGAGCTCTTGTAACTGTTGCCATGGCAATATCAGAACAGCAACGTGGTGGTTTTCATCCATATCCCGTGTTCAGCTAAATTCCTTTGCAGTCTTTTAACTGTGAAAGGAAGGTGCCATACTGTACCAGGCTTGATTTCTTTTGAATTAACCTGGAACAAATGAAGACTGAAATGAACTCATTCTTTGAAAATGAAATGTAAATCTAGGCACCAGTGATCTAGTCTGCTTTGCTTTTGGTCTGCCTGTGCACTGACAGTCCTATATGTAAAATACTTCTTGTGGAGTTACTGACCTGCTGTTCATGCCATTGTGTCACATCCTGTCATTTGGTTCAGGCCATAAAAGAACACATGGACTGCAACCACAAACTAAAAATTTTGTTAGAAGAATGGATTTACCTCATAGATTATTTTCTCTCTAATTAGAGAAGTATGAACACTTACCACTAGAATTCCAGATCCTGCTTTCTAATTTGGCCTCAGTTTTGTAATGCTTTCCCCTATAGCTGAGCCTGCCCTATGTTTTTAACCCTCGTGGTGTTGATCAGCTGCTGCATTTTTAGTGTCACTCTGTTTCCTGACATTCAAGCACCTTTTTAACTGATCTGCTGCAAGAAGTTGTTTTCCACAGCCCTCCCCCAGTCTCCTGCTCTGGAAAGCCTTTGACTTCACTCCCGCCGTGGGTACAAAGCAGGGACCACATTCTCTCCCTGCTGACCTACATTTCCACAGTGCAGCTTCCCTGCCTCCCTCCTTCCCCAGGGCTCCCAAACGGAGTGACTGGGCCTTGGAAAGCAGAGCTGGAGAAGGGAGTAGTAATTTGTAGTAATACAGGCAGTGCCACGTGCCATAGGTGTGATCAGCCATCTGAGGGACCGTGGGCAGCAAGGGAGGTGAGACTGCGCGGCACCGACCCAGGGCTGCTCTGGGAGGGTGATCTGAACTGATTAATAGATGCCGTTATCGTGGTGTAATTAAGCACTTGTGCAATATTTATTCGTTTGTGCTATTCAGCAGCATAAAATAGGGGTTGAGAAATGGTATTTAAAATTGCAAAGATACGTAAACAACTAGTGGTGTTTTTGCAAATGAGTTACCAGGCTGTTCTTGCTCACAGCACAAATGTAAGAAGTAGTATCTTCTATATTAGCATCTTCCCTCTCCCTTTCATCTCCTTTCTCTCATGTTTTCACACATTGCAATGAGCATTCATTCAAGAGATAAGATGTTCTTGCACTGTGGGATTATGTAGGTATTTTAGATTGAAGTATGATTGGGGATTGTGTTAACATATTGGGAAAATTAGTGGGAAGGGGGAGGCAATCTAAAGTAATGGCCTCTGGGTGCTTCCCTCCCCTTCAGTGTCTGATTTAGCATGGGTTTGGAGACAGTTATGCATGTCTAATATATTAACATGTTAATATATTCTGAAAATATTTTGTAAATAAGGACTGACACATTTTATATTACTGCATTGCAAAGAAAAGCAGATTTTAAATTGCAATTCTAGTAAGGTTAACCTGAAAGCCAGTCTATCTCACCTCTTCTAGATCACTGCCATCCCATAATTTCAAGTTTATAAATTTAAGTGAAGATCTTTGTGGACACAGAATTTTCTCTCACGCCAACCACTGAAACTTGGAAGTATCTTTACCTATAATTTCTTCAGATTAGAACAGAATGTGAACTTTCCCCACGAAAGATTTGTCAGTAACTGGGGATAGGATCAGTTCTACTACATTAAAGCCTGTAGTTGTTCTTTTTCCATTCTTAAATCTGTTGATGTGTGAGCTGCAAATAACCCACATCACTGATTTAACTGGAGATGTGAAAGGAACAGTTCTGTTGTTGAATAGCGGTTTTCTGTGGCACTTCATTTTGGTCCTATGGTATCAACTTGTAAATCTTTATTTAGTTAAATAAATAGGGGGAAATTATGGAATTCCAATTTCTGATTTTTGTTACCATGATAAGTCTTCTAAGGTTTTCCTTTACCATAATAATTGTACTGATGATGTCCTAATTTTTTTCTTCCATCATAAGTTTTGAACCATTATGACTTTTTATATTTGTTTTCAACCTGAAGCAGAAATACAGAGAAGTAAAAACATTCAAAGCAAATATTATACAAATTTCTATATTCAGTGAATAGTTATATCCTTTTTTCCCTTTTTTTTTTAACTGCATTGCAGACCTGTTAGAATTTTAGCTACAAGTTTGTATCCTATTGCTAATGAAAATGCATTTTTTTGTCTTGCTTTGTGGGGAAAGGAAGTGAGAGAACTTGTCCAAGATTTTAATGATATAAATAATTATTGCACTATTTTTAACATGAACTGCTTTTATATTCTAGTAGAGTGAGCAAATAGCTTAAACACAAGCTAGAAAACAGTAAAACATTCAGAGAATAGAATGTAGAGCTTTCATTCTGTAATTGCATATTTTATCATACAGGCTTTCCCTTTTGTTTCTGCAAGCTTTGCAACAAACTGTGCAAGAAAACAGTACTTGGATGCAAACGATTTAAGTAGCCTTTGGCTATCTTGTAAGGATTCAACTATATTAATACAGTAGCTTCAATTAATACCCAAACAGTAATACAAATGTTAAAAATTATGTTGGACCCTTAGGAGGACATTAAAAATGGCTTTTTATTTAGCTTCTTATACTCCTCACTCGTATTTTAGCTCTCAAGAAGTTTGGTAGGCTGAACTCGTAGGCATCGTGCTGTGGTTCTGCCAAGCTCGGGCAGATCCACGTTGTTTATGTGCTCCAAAGTGGAGCACCCGAGAGGCTGTTTGGCTGCCAAACTTGATGATTCAAGTGCCAAACTGTTTAAGGTTTCGGTATTAACCTCTTGGACTATACCCAGAAGCCAGTAACAGCGTTTTGAACTAGCCAGAGTTGGTAAGACCCAAGCAGAGCAAATTACAGTATGGCTTGAAGGCAGGGAACAGTGCTGAAGTCCTCTCCAGGAGGATGGACTGTGCTCTTGGCAGCATTACTGGGGAGAGGCCACTTATGGGATTGTACATCTTCCAAAACTGAATACCCTGGAGTAGTAGCTGGCTTTAGACTCTCACTCTGGTGGTCTAAAATTGGTGCTGTAGTGTAAAGCTTGCATACAGTGAACTTCAGGCGGGTGGCTTTCAGCTGGGCTGTTTGCTGGGGCCTGTGTCAGCTGGAAGGAAGCAGGCAGACTGAGTGGGGAAGAACTACTAATGGCTGTTGAAAACACTCCCAAAGACTTTTTCTAATGCAGCTCGCACCTCTGTCTTACACAAATGCCAATAGTCATCACATAAACTAAGCGTATGTACTTTCAACCTAGTTGGAGAAATCTCTGCAGGAGAGAGTTAGTAGTTTTACATGTATTTACTTTCCCTAGAAACAGACATTTCTGCAATTTGAATTGTCTTGGAAATGCACAAATGGGTAATTAGCATACCTCACATACTGCAGAGGACAAAATTTAATGGAGGTTCACCAAAAAAATTGGTGATGAGCAAATTCCAATACCCATCATCCATAGGAGCTCCTAGAATTGCTTCAGAGGTATAGTCCAGTGCATTGCAGTCTGTTCACACGTGTAAGTTCCTGCAGACAGACAACCCTGAAGCTGCTGAGAGTGCTCAGTAATATGATTTGTCTTTTCATTACAAAGAAAAAAAACCTGCTGTGATCTGTACTGTGCATGGTATGAAAACTAGGCTTTAAGGACTAAGGAACGTAGTCTAATAGCCAAGTAATGCTAAAGCTAGAAATTTATTTCTTCCTGAGCAGCTTTCCCATAAAAAGTGAAGTCTTAAGACCATAAATATAATCAATTTTATTAAATAATAAAAGTACATCAAATATTTGTATTTTATCCAATTAAAAAGTCCCAGTCAAACAGAAAACTGATTGCAGTGCTATCATTTGCTGCTAAGTAAGAGGTGGGTATTGCTTACCCTGGCACTGTGACAAGCAGTAATAACCTGAATTTGATACTGTTGGAAAATAAGGTTTAAAACTTCTGTTTGTTAGAAAACTGGAAACCTGTAAATAGATTTAACCTACTTCTCACAATTTATTTTCAGTGGTACATGTTGTGAGTTTAAAATTGCCTGGATTTTGTTCTTGCCCATACTGCTATCTGGAACTCTCAATCTTATTATGACCTAGTCTTTCCCACCTATAAAGTAAGGTGTGTGGCTTAATTTTCTCTAGCAGATGTATTTTCACTTGACTGATCCTTGTTTTTTGACAGGGAGGAAAGAGCAAAATCAACAAATGTTTCATTGGTTTTCTCCCTTTTTGGACAAAATGGGATTTCGTCAAGAATGATACAAGACTTGAACTTACATGTTACATTTCTGATCAGCCTTTCAGTTACCTTGAAGTTATGTAGGGAAATTAATAGCAGATTGAATGAATTTCCATGAAGGTTACTTTAGGAGCTCACCCTGTGACTTCTAGAGAATGAAGTGACTTTTAGTCAGCTCTTTGAAGAGAATTTAGTTGCATCCAGAACACCACTTGCATTTCTGAAGGTGATGTACAAAGCAAGTCTTATGAACTTTGATTTCATTTATCCCCCCTTCCTAACCAAATAAGCAAACCTCCCAAAACTGGACCTACTTCCAAGGAGTACTTTCTTAGTGCTTTAGAGTCCACCGGTAGTGTCTTGCTAAATTGTGATATTGCTAAATGTACATTAAAGTAGTGTATAATAATTGTAAGTAAAACTGATCTGCCCTTTGTGCAATTTACTTAGTTTTTAATTTTTCATTTTATAGCAATTCTAGATAACAAGAGATCATTACATGGAAGAGAACTAGAGCTATGAATGCATTTTTTAAAATAAAATTTTAGTGTGGAAAATATGCTCCATTATATTTTATTGGCACATAAATCAGCAATTGTACCACCAAAGTGTGCATGCTTATTATTGCACATTAACACAAAAATCCTTAATACCATCTTTTTTTTTCCTCAAATTTGCTGGGAAAACCTTTTGGTTATCATTTCATAATATTACTGTTATCAAGAACTATACTTTTTTTTTTTTTTTCAACTTAAAAAAATAATTTCCAGACTCCACTATGTGATGGGGATCAACTGAAGGCTGTCCCATGAAGCTCATCCATGTTCACTGTACATGCACTCAGCAGTATTTACAGGTTGCACGTGGGCAGAGGGAGCCTCGTCCTTCTAGTGCAGTTTGCGGTGGCGGTACCTGCCTGCTTTGTCTTTCGCTGCGTTGGCACAGGCGTTGTGCTTATTCTGTTGTAAGTGGTTCCAGTATTTGATCAGTTCACTAGGTTGGAACTGATGGGAGGTAATAAGGTGGCTATATTTACAGCTGGAGTAAGAAACTCGCCAGTGATTGAAGACAAACTCGTTGGGTGGAGGCATGGGGTCAATCCGCAGCTTGGCCAGACAGATCCCCACGTACACGTCCTCCAAATGTAAACGTCTGATGCTTAAGGAGACTTTAAAGATTTTTTCTGCTAAATCTCCAGAAAAAACATAACCAGTTCCAGAGCAGAATACAGGATAACGTTCACTTGGATACAAATCAGGTGGCATATACCACTTGCTATCCTTGTTCCTATTAGGTGCATAACCTCTCATTAAATAACCTGTAAAATACTTGTGCCTTGGAGGAAGTTCTGGTTTCAGAAGCTTGTGTATTAAATAATCAGTATTGACAAACATATCACTATCAGTTTTCATAACGTATGGAACATGTGGACAGTAAGTTGCAACCCAGTTCATTCCCATCAGAGTTTTAATGGTTAAATTATAGTAAGTGTCTAAGTATTCTTGTTGAATGATGTCGTGGTACTGTCTGCTTTCCTCAAGGATGGTGCGCTGGAGGTATCCATTTATCTTGATGCTTAACCCCAACAAAAAAATACGAACAATTTGGATGCCAGGTGCCAGGCTTTCGTTACCCCAAGTTTGCCGAATAGCTTGTCTGGCTTCTACCTGGCCTGGCTCTGCAGCTATGAGCAGTATTAGAAAAGGGGTCTTTTCCTGGCACTTCTCAGGCTCGTTGATGATGTATTTGAAATGATACAAAGTCGGATGCCCAGTACCCTTCTCGTTGTAAATACTTCCATTGGCGCTGAGGGTGTTTTCCAAACCAGTTACTCCCTGTGGAGCCAGATCTGTGTTGTTGGGGTTGGTGACTGTTGGAGGCCTGAGTGTCTGAGGTACAGCATCTCTCCACATGTTTCTTAGCGAGCTGTGGTTTGTCTCGATTTTTGTAGACCTAAATCCTCGTATAGTGTAAGCCATGGGATTTTCTCTGAATCCAGCCCTGCCTGGCAGCCAGTCGTGATGATTAAAGAACAGAAACATAGCAAACAGAAACACCAGGGAGATCAGGCCCATGAGGTGGGTGCGAAACAGAGACCTTTTGGTATTCCAGGTCATCTTTGCAAAGCAGCAGTGTCGTCTCCTCCACTGAAGCATGTTGTAAGGATCCAATGATGGGAAATGAGACAGTGGTCAAGCAAAATGCTTTTCCGATTGGTTTTCAATCCACTGCTATTCTTTGGTATTCATTTTCTTTCGTTCATGTTGAGCAATTGTCTGCAAATGGCTCGCTCTGCAAAGAGTAAAAAAAAAAAAGAAAATCAGAAATCTTTCATTTTACACACTGATAATATGAAAGGTTACAAATAGAAACTAGATATTAACAGAAAATTGAGTTTTTTTTTTTAAAAAGTCCATGTCAATAGAAACAAGATTGATTTATGCTAAAAGCCAACCTTGTTTTATGATTTAACTTTTAGAAATGCCTTTTTTTATAGTAAAAGTTTTGTCAAACCTCCTGGATGCCAAAGATAAAAAGGAAAAAAAACCCCATAATTGATCATGTTAGCAGGGAGAAGTGTGAAGTACATGTAAATAGCTTCATATACACTAACTGTGAAATCCTTCTACGGTGTTAAAGGAGGACTGAATGAAAAAGCCTTGATACCAGATGGAAGGTTTATTGGCATTAATTAAAATTGATTTGACATGCAGAGGCCAGGACAGCTCTCAGTTTAAAACCCTTTTTGCAAAATGGTCATGTGTTGGTGCTGGGACAGACGGCGCAAGGTTGATTATGGCAGAGCTGTGTTAGTCACAGTACACTGCCTGGCGCGCTTCCACCGGCCCCGGCTGTGTTCGGAAAGTCAATGAGAAGATGCACCTGTCAAAATTAATTTTCAGGGTCCAGTAACCTCCGTGCACAGCCCTCGGATGGTAATGCAGGATAACATTTTCAGTCACCTTTCAGGCACCTTTAACCTTCTACTCCACCATCAAGGAAAATACTGAATGGAACGCTTGGCTGTGGTGACAGGCTCACAGGAAGCTGAATTAAAATTAAGCTGTTGATTTTTTAGTAGGCAGAGATCTTGGGTAGTGTCGTATTAACTGGAAGTAAAATTGCACAGCACTAAGTTTCTGGCAAACTATCTGATGATCGTGATTCTGGTTTTTTCACTATAAATGTGTATGTAAATACTGTACCTCTTGTACTAGTCAGAAATTTCAAGTATTGTGACCAGCAGCTGTAGCTGTAAGAAAAAGTGCCAAAGTAGTCTGTGCTTCATTTTCTCTTAAATTTTTGTTCATATTCAGGAGCAGAGTCAATATGGCAGCTTCATGATGCTGCATATTAAAAGCTGATCACATCATCTCGTAAATGAACCTTTCACTGCACAGAAGCAATTCGTTTGTGATTTTCAATTTGCTCTAATTTATTTCTGGGCCCCAGGGTTTTGTATAGGAAAAAAGGATGACAGCTGAACAAGAGCCCATAGAAAAATGCTATTTCTAATAGAAATGTGTAATTTATTAATTGCTTCCCTATCTTCTAAAACCAATATTTGGATTAATTTACGCATTTAAAAACTAAGTGACACGTTACATGGGAAATCACAGGATTTAAGATTGTAAGGAAGTAGCTTGAGCTGTCAGTCGAATAATATTAAATTGCATGTGTGCGGTGCAACATTCAACCTGCCCGGTTCACGTAGGGGACTGTTTGCATTTCAGAAGGGCGGGGAGAGGAGTGCAGCAGAGGGTTTATTTTACTCACTGCCCGTGTGTGAGCGGCCACGCTCCGCTGGCAGCGGGAGCTGCTCCCGGACAGGGCTCGCCGGGAAGCGGGAGCCGCCCCGGTGACCTCCGCCAGGGGGCGCCAGCGCGCGGGAATTGTGACCCGGGAGGGGATCGGGATCGGGATCGGGATCGGGAAGGGCCGCGGGTCCTTCGGGAACAGCCGGACACCGGCCCGGGGATCCCGCCCCGCTGCTGGTGCCCAGCGTTCATGCCTTTGGGCTTTCAGGCTTGCTGAAAGTATTTCCGATTTTTTTTTTTAATTATTTTTTAATTTAACCGCGTGGGGCTGATGCCACTCGCCGGAGACTTGGCTGCCTCCCTAAAAATCGTAAACATCTGTGTCTAAACTATGTACATTCAGAATTAACCTGCGTTTATGCTGCTTTAACTCGGACGTTGTCCTTATGCAAAGAAAAGCCCCGAATGTGAAAGGCTCGTGTTTATCTGACCACTTGAACCTGCTTTTGCCTGCTGAAAAAACAGAAGCCTCCCCTCAAAATTCATAATTTTTAGTTTCTTTGCAGTGTGCAGTGAGTTCTCTATGAGCACTCGGCTGTTTGGGAAGAATATCTCTGCATCAGCAAACATAAATGCCATTTCAAGGGATACTCTAGATCTCAGGGAAGTTAATTGTTTGATACCAGGCTGGAAGGCAGCAGTGGGAATATTTGATTAATTATCATTCCATTGTACGCTTACACAGTTTAGGAAGAAAGTCAAACCCAGAATTTCATGAATGTGGAGTAGCAGCTAGAATTCAGATCAATTTTGTCACACTGAATTGTTCCACTTACAAAACTACAGCCATTAGATGGAATTATTTCAGCAAATATGAGCTGCACTGCTAATCTGTGTTAAATATTTAATTTAGGTAGTATTTTGTTGTGCACCTACTTTGATATGGCAATAGGCACAAGTGAGACTCTTAAGTTACATAAATATTTGTCTAAACAAAAAACTGTTTTCAGGTGCTGTCTTTCCATGATGCACTGAGGAAGTGTCCCAGGAAGGGCAGTTGTAATGGCTGAAACCTTTTTTGATTTAAGTTTTACACTGAGGGATGGAACTAGAACCATAAGAAATTTCAAGAGTCATATTTCCTTGATTTTTCGAGGTAGAAGTTTCTTTCAAAAATCTGTCTCTGTTTGCCCTTTAAAAAAGCATTGTATGAATAGGGGAAGGACCCACATGTATTTTTCAGCTTCATAAAACTATTGACTGAAACAAAACTCAAATAACTGGGGCTCCTTTTCTTTGCAATTTGTATGTAAAACATTTGAAAATATACAATGGGGTATCAAGCATTTGAAATACAGCAACAATTGCACCTTTGAAAAAAATACTACGTGCTAGGATGCATTGTTTAAAAATAATGTAAAAAAACTATCAGTAGACATTAAACTCACCATCAAATAGTAAAATAAAAATATTATTTTCTTTCACTTAGTTAGGGTTAGAGCATTCCTGCTTTTGTCCAAATATTTAAAATTCTATTTCACAGAAAGCTTATGAACAGGCACCAACTATTGACAGTAGATAAGAAAACCTAAGTATAGCAAAAGGTCTCTGTAACACTCACCTTGTCCTCTGCGAGTGTCGTTGCATGTAACTGCGATTTGAAGATATTATTTATGATAATGCTGCTTCATTTTTGGCACTTGACAGTGCAGTCACTGATGCATTATCAAATGCCAAATATATAAACTGTGAATGCCTCTTGAATTTTTATTTGTGGTCTGTGCTCTGCTGGTGTTTTGGTTCCTGGTACTTGCAGTTCTGCTCTATAATTACAGCTTTGCAAATTGAAGCATTCGACTTCCTATTCACACGTCTTGGATTTTCATATTTTGATTAGCTGTGTGGGCAAACTCTTAAATTAGAGGGAAGAGTTTAAAAGGCAGCCTGAGTTGGTATTCTGATGAACAACAGCAGCAGTTGCATATTGGGCCTCAGAAAATGTGCCCGAGTTTCCTTACAAACTCCATTAATCTTTTGCACGAAACAGTACTTGGGATAAGGTTTGATGTGCAGGTTTTTAAATGTCAAGATATGAAAGTCTCACCATGAGCTAAGTGTACTTCTCCTGGAGTATTGCCTGAGGGTACATTTTTTTGTTGTTGCTTTAAAAGTTCTATGAAGTGACTTTATATTCTGGATGTGTTAAAACTGATTTGAAACCAGTGTCTGTTATATGCTGCATCCTTAGATTTGTGAACTCTCTCTGGCTGCAGTTGTTTTATTGCATGTTAGCATTGCCTTGGGCAAAGAAACCACATTTATATTGACTTTTAATGATTTATTATAGCATATTGGTAGATTCTGCAGATAAGCACTTTCTTTCTGTGGTGTATTGAATTGCTATAGATTTAGGTCTTAAATTTCTGCAAATGTTCATCTTGTTTGTTTGCCACCAGTGGCAAAGTATTTAAATTTCAACAATAAATAGAAATGAATGGCAATTAGATGGAATGTCATTTTACAATCCAAGTTAAACAGTCAGTGTTTTCATATTAAACAGAAATTGCAGTGATGGCAGGAGATAAGTTACGTGCTTACCATTTTGAGTGTGTAGTGTTTGAAGGTTTCCTTTTGGGATGTCAGGGGAGCCTGATGTTTCTTGTAAATTGTGGTGCCTGTTTGCACTGCTGATGGTTTAAATCAAGCCCAATCTTTTGCACGCTCCCAGTTTATGCTTGGCTGATACTGACCTGATGACATTTTGTTTGTGTTTGGGGGGGAAGAAAAGCAAGTGTAAAAAGGTCTGGAGGGGCTGTTAAGATAATGTCTTTTGACTGCATGGTCTGTTTTGATGGTTCAGTGCTCTCAGTATGTCACATTATGGCCATTTTACCAGTGCTTTAAGATTACTTCAGATAAGGATTAATTTTGACCTAGTTTGAGAGGATTTCTAACTGGTTTTTCTATTTTGGAGGGGTTTGAGTTTTTAATTTCTCAGTTAAAAGCAATCATTACAGTAGCTACATTATCCCTCTAATCCCTCCTCTCCAGCCGCACCAACCTTGGCAGACTGTAAGCAGTGCATTTAGTGAGTGTAAGGTAGTGACATTGTGCAGGGGGAGAGGAAAACCTGCTAGAATTCCTTCTCCCTGTTCACAGACTGTTATCTCAGGGCTCTGCAAATTAGGAACGATCATTATCTGTAATGGCTGAAAAGGTAACAGACAACCGAATGGATATCACACACGAGGGTTTGACATACCTTCCTTGGTCAGGCCATTTATGGTGCGAGGATTATACCCACAGAAAATAGTTTTGGCACGCCATCACTTCAGCAGAAAAGATGCTCTCGAACATGCGCACATCCCCCCACAGCCCTGCTTCCTGCGATCGCTCCCCTCGGCATCCACTCTGTCCATCTGTCTGCCCGTTGCCGTGTTACCTTCCTTGCTTATAAGTGTCGTCCTTGTCTTGGGGCTTTTTGTTCATCCTGCAAACAAAAGGACAGTAGTTCTCGTTTCTGTTCGGAGCGGGGCTGTCTGGCGCTCACAGCCGATGCATCGGAGCTTTTTACATCTGGTGTTTCCCGTGTCGGACAATGCAGTGCTGTGTTCTCCTCTCCCCAGTATCCATATTTCTAATGGTAGTGTTAGCAGGGAGTGCTAGCGCGTAGTGCTTCAGTTGTCTTCAGTAATAGGATTTCCCTCTGTTCCTTCCTTCATTGTTGCTAGGCAGTAATAGAAATGGTTTGGAGCTGTTTTAACCCAGAATTCTGGTGTATAAAATCCATTCCGTAGTTCTTCGGCTGCTGCACAGGCAGGCAGCAGTTTAAATGTGGGCTTTGACAGATGCTGTCTTCTGACAGAGCAGAATTTAACGTCACTGCTTGGCTGAATCCCACGTGATTGTTTGCATTCATTTTGACTAAATCCAAAGGCAGACAGGAAGCTTTACAGGCTCTTGCTCTTATTTGATAAATGATACATACTCAGTTCACGCACAGTGGTAGGTGAAGAGTATAAAAATTGTATGATTATTAAGTGAACAATTGAGGGTTTTTACAGATTGTTTTCACTTTTCCCTGACACTGTAACTTATGATTCTCTAGGGGATTTTTAATGCTAGACGTTCTATTCCCGTATTCCAAAAGCTGTTCTGCAGTGCAAGGGAATTATAAGCGTTTAGATGCCGAAGATTGATTTAACCCATTCGGCTCTCTTGGAGTGTAAATCAGTTGTGCCTTCATGCCAAAATAAAAAGGTATTTCTTTGCTCGGATTTCCTTAGCACATGCTTACTCTATAAAAGCTGCTTTTTGTTATCTTAGGTTGTTCAATTAAGCTGAACAACACTGATGTATAAGGACACACTGTTAAGCTGCCTCTCTGCTGTTAATGGCTTTCTGCTGTGGTAAAGCCTGAAGTCTGGCATTGCAGAGTCGGGGGCACTTAATTTCAATTATTGATGAATCTAAAATGTCTTTTGTCTGTTACAGACATACCTATATCATAGAATTTGCCTTTCTGGTCCTAAGGAAACTTGTGTTCCTTTCATTTCTCTCCTTTCAATGATGACCCTTCTATGCTGAAGCATCTTACTATATTTACTGTATAAGTAAAATACCACAATAGATAGCTCAGACAATAGAAAGCTAGTAGCATACTTAGCCAGGTATTTATTAGTCACTGTGTTTATCCACTCTGTTTTGAAAAGCTAATGACTAGCTCTTTAGACTTTTGTTTAGCCAAGGGATGAAGAAACTATAATTACTCTATCATGTCATGTGTCTGATTTGTAGGATTGGGGGTAAGTATGTCCCTTACTGGCAAATAAGGCTTCCCCAGGCAGTCAAGGTGTTTTATTATTCTAGATGCATATTATGCTAATTTACTAGAAACATAATCAGATTTAGATCCTCCTAACTAAATAATCTATGTACACTAACTTTCTCTATTAATTCAGTCTTGTTTGTAATGCATGCATTTCCTCACCTAACGACAATTTCCACAAATCCTATGATCCTATGTGAGGGCATTTTAGGATTGTGTAAGTTTCGAGCTGGCTCTCTACCAAATTGCCGAGACCCAGCAAAAAAGCCAACTCCCCAAAGAGGGAAGGAAAAAACCCGAACAGCCAAAGCTACAGCAAAAATATATCATCATCATCATGGCTGGGCTTTGCCAACGAAGATTTGGGAAGGGCTCTACCCACGTTTGTTACAAGCACGCTGGTGGCTGAAGAGGCCAATACGAGATAGACACGTCCGGTTGCAAAAGGCACAGCAGAAAGACTCCTTAGGTGGTATATTCTGCAGGGCACGATTCTTTCTGCGTTGTCTTTTCTCCTCAAGGGTGATCCTGCGTGCTTTCTCAAAAGCATCAGCAGCGTTATAGATGGTGTGTCTCCAGACCTCCCGACTGGAGGCCACAGTAGACCAGTTATGTTGATCAATATGGCCAAGGCTGAGATGTTGTTTCAGGGAGTCCTTGTATCTTCTCTTCGGAGCTCCTCTCTTGCGGCAGCCGGTGGCAAGTTCACCATAAAGCAAGATCTTAGGGAGGTGGTGTCAAGGTCCTTCATCCCAGAGACGTGCCCTGCCCAACGCAGCTGTGTTCTCAGCAACATGGCCTCTATACTTGTGATTGCTGTTTGTTCTAGAACAGACTTATTAGTCACATAATCTGACCAGTGAATGTTTAGGATTGTACAGAGGCAGCGTTGATATTGTACACACGATAGGGAGCTCCCGAGAAGGAAAAAAGGGAAAAGGGAAGGGGAAACAGGGATAAAGAGCGAAAAACAAATATCCTCCAAATATACCCCATTAATAGAGAGCTAAAGAATAAATACAAAACAATGGATTAAATACTTCCCTGAACGGGCCAGCAGAACTGTGTGAGGCACCAGCCAACTCCCCACGCCTCCCGGAGGGACCGGAGATGACGGCAGGTCTGAGCAGCAGGCCCTGGCCTATACAAGCAAAGACCCTCTGCGGAGAGACCTGTCACCTTCAGCCACCTGAAGAGAAAAGAGGGCAAGTCCTCTTATCTGCACCTTTTTATATGTTGTGTTACGGGAAGGGATGATACTTCCTTAGCTACGGGGTCAAGGATCATGAGCATATTTCCTCAATATAAAGTGCGTATCAGTAAAGACTTTGTACCTCCTCCACTCGGAGAAATTTTGTGTTTAAAAAATGAAGGGAGGGGACGACAGTGGGGCGAGAGAGTAGGGTCTGTGTCCAGTACTCCTTACTGATCTGGGACCTTCATGAACAATTGTGAATCAGTACTTTGACAGGTTTCATGTGTGCCCAGTCTACTCAATTTTCTACTTAAACACCCAAAGCTGTCTTATCCCTGCCCTACGTAATATCCAGAACTTTGTACATTCTGTTGCTGTACATATACAAACATGTGACAGCGTGCTCAGGAGTCCTGTCACTTTGCTGCATTCCAGGCTACGAATAGGAAATCAAGTGGGTTATTCATGTAGTCAATCTACCCATGTTGATTTGCATAGAAGATGTAATGTCTTTGTCAAATACAAGCATGTAAATCTGCCTCTGACTTTTGAATTTTCAGATAAGACATGTAACATTGTATTTGGGAAGCAAGTCTAAATCTCGACAGAATGGTTATTAAAACCCATACTGTTTCAACTTAATTTATTTACTACTGCTGCACTGTACCTAGTGTCCCTCCTTGTGAGCTGTACGTAGTATGTTTACATATTGGAGTGGGCAGAGCTGTTCTTATTTTTCTGTAAATACTCATTGGTAAATATTAAAGGTACAAAAATCCCTAGGGCTGTTTTTTCTAAGTAGAATCTTTTTCAAAGTAAATTTATAAAGGAACAGACATCAGCTTTGGCTTTTAATTAAATGACCATATATCCCTTGTGTGTAGCCTGTAAAGTTCAGGCAGAGCTGTTGTCTGTTGATATGTGTAAAATTTGTCATCTTGCCTTGTGAACAAATTGAATATTGAATTCTTAAATATTAATGACCAGTTTGTTCATTCTCTTTTTTTTTTTTTTTCAAATAAAGGATGAGCAAGTCTGCTCATCTTACAGAAAAGTAAGGAAAAACCTTTGATTTTTCTACTACTTTCTGTCTGGGAGTGACTGATGTAACTTTAGAGTCAAAGTTTCAGGAAGAAATTCCTTTTCTCTTATAGCACTTTGTTCTTAGCCACTTTTATATGATCTTCTATGTTTCTGGGTGTTTCAGGAGGGCAGATCTTGCTTTGTACAGGAAATAGGACCTGGAGGTTTTGCTAATCTTGCTGGGCTGGAGGTTGGAATGAGCTTTATTTCAGCTAAATCTCACCATGAAAGGTCAGCGGACTGCTTGTTCTTGATCCAGGGAGTAGTATGTTCTATAATGTTACTATGGTTACATCTTAAATTAGAAACTGCAATGTTAGGGTTTGAAATGCTGCCACCTATTAAGACTACAAGGAGTAAGTGATGTGAAGATGTACAGGCTGTGTTGGGAACATGGCAGAGTTACCGTGGCCGGTGGACACTGGACTGTTCAGTGAGCCCTGCAAGGCTGGAACCAGACTCAAGGAGTAAGAGAAGATGGTGATTTACAATAACCTGTGCACGTGGCAACTGTGACCTGAGCAAAATGCACTTAGGCAAAACAAAGGTGTGTAAGTTTGGAATATTTTCTTCAAAAAAACTTTGAAAACTCTCTGCATGTCTTTTTCAGAGGGTGTCATCAGAATCTTGTCTAACTGATTTTGTAATAAACTCTTAGATTGAGCCATTAAGTAAAGTTCCATCTCGACAATATTAGCAGGAATTTCTCAAACCTGTCCTGAGTAGTTGCAATAGTCAAGCGTGTACTGCCTGGTAACCTCCTGCCTGGTGGCCACTAGGCCCATGAGAGTTAAAATAAATAGTTATACCATAGCTGACCTATCAGTGTTCCCATGTGAACCATGGTTTCTGGATACTCCATGAATATTTTGAAAAGTTTATTCCATTTTTTCATAGTAAAATGAAGTATTATTTCAACTGTAATGCATTGGAAACCTTTCAGGTGACAGTTCAGAATGATTAATGGCAACATTTTCAAGGTTGGTTATTTTTGCTTTTAAGCTTTATTTTTACCTTCTGGAAATGTGTTAATGCAGAGTGTCATAAATGCTTGGTTTTAATTTTTTGTGTTAAGAACTATTATGTATATGGCCAATGGCTGTTCCTCTCTTTGCTTCAAAAAGAATACTTCTCCAATAAGTTCAGTTGAAGTGGAAACAGGGTTGTAAAGTACTTATAATTTACTTGGCTACTTTGTGATCCCAACATATGCCTTAGCTATCACATGCATGTTTGTAACTGAATCAAAACCAGCAATCTAGGATTGACCACAAGTGTCAGTATTGCCTGCCTTATTTTCCTTATTAGGTTTTCACTGTTGTTTAGCTGGTTTTGAAGCCCAGCTTTACACTTGCTTATACATTGTTTTTACCAATGGTCAAGATTTTGCAATCTATTCTAATCACATCCAAGCCATAAACTTAGTGATTTTATTAATCTTTGAGTGTCATAAATTTAGAACCTAAATGCAGCAATGTAGATCAATCTTAGAAGTAGAAAAGGTTCCCGGGTGTTCTGAAACAGTTATGCTGATGAGGAGTTGATCATTGTTATGTATCATTCAGTAGGGAATATAAACACATCCCCTGACTTCTCGAAGTTGTGAGAGAGGAAAAAGTCCAAGTGATGTTTTCAAGTCAGGAGGGTTCTTCTTAGGAAACATTTCAACGGGATGTTTTATAAATCTAAAGCTTGTATTTTTTTCATAACTAAACTGATGTTCTAGGTCTCCATCTGGAATTCGGTC